GACTCTCAAGGACTAAATTTGAAACTAAAGAAGTTCGGTTCTCTCATAAGACTTGGGGCTGAAGAGTTTTGAATTGGTGTGCGCAAAATTTTGAAGCAAATGCTCCAAATTATGTATTTGTCGATATTTGTACTACTGATAATTTCCTGCCGAGCTTGGGAGCTCGGAAAAGATTCAATTTAGAGTTTATCCAAAATTTGGTGATTTATCAATCAAGACAAACTTTTTTTGAAGTTAAAAATAATGCGGCGGGAAAAACAGGCCATGAAACCCTCTGGTTTTAAGCTCGAGGTGAAAATTTTTGTGTGTTGTTCATTAATTTTTTACCTTGAGAATTAATAAAAAATAAAAAAAAACTAGTGTTGCAGCAGTTGAAACAGGTTGGGATAATCAGAAATTTTCTAAATTCACTGAAAATTCATTTTTACAAATCAGTTTTAGACATTTCTGTAGCGTTTGTTTCGCAAAATTTCAGACTTTTCACAAATTAATCTGAAAAATTGTTACTCCTGCAACATCCTGTCTTGCAAATCAATAAATGTTCTTTCCTGGAGGTTATGCAATGGATTACACAGGCGTCGGGCAAGTTGCATACCCGCCCTCTCGCGGCACAGTCATTGCGCGTCCATTGTGGTGCGCGCGCGGATCTCTCTTTCTTGTCGTGGGCGATTGTGTTGGCGGCGCGCTTTGTCGGCGCGCAGAGAGAACAATAGGTGCACCTGCTATTGTGGAGCGCCCGCCCGCAGCCGCGGCGCCGCCCAATCAGAGCAAGCGCCGCCGCCGCGCGCAGCTACCTGTTGTCTCGGCCGCCCGCTATTGTTGTTGCCGGCTCTATTGTGTCTCGATTCACAGAGCAGCCGCACTACAATAGGAATCTCTCCGATTCAAAGCGCTGCGCCAATCGGCGGCGCGCTCCGCCGAGCCAAAACAGTGATCCGCATGCCTGCAGGAATAATTTTGTGGTCAAATAGTCTCTCCAAAAGATGCTGATTTATGATGAATTATGTCAACATAAACAACGGTTGAGCATTATTTGCAACTTAATAATTTGAACGCTTTTGGAAAACCAATAATGGTTTTTTTTAACAATTTCAATGAAACTGAAAATTAATCGGGAAAAGTTTGAAAGAGCAAAAATTTAATTATATTTTCTTAATTTAAACTAGTTTAAGATTACATTGTTTGAATAAACCAAAAAAATCGTTACAATTTTGTTGAAAAAAAAAATTGAAAAAAAATTGGTTATTGGCCCATTCTCTTGTTTTATTTTCTTACTTTTTCAAAACTTTGTCTTGTAAATTTTATGCTTTAGGACTTTTTCCAAATAGCCGCGGGAATTTTCAATTTTCATACTCAGTCAATTCAAGTTTTCTTTTACTGCATTATTTGCTGTCGGAAGTTATTTCGGGGGCATTGAGTGCAAAATGACTTAATACCAGTCAGTTCGTGGAAGTTGTTTTGAATATTTGCAAATAGAAGGACGAGTGAGTTGAATGTGCTCGTCGCGCATTTATACGTATATTTATTGTAATGCGGCGTCTGCGGCTGCAAGGGTCACGACCTCCGAGTCTGAAAGCCGAGGCGCCGCGACGCGCCAAACAAAGCCTCTGTTCTCGAGTGTTGTGAATGCTTTGGTATTGTTCCGGAATTATAGCCGTCCAACCGCTTGTCTGCGCTACTCTGGTTACACACCCGCGTGTGTTTGGCAATTCGCATCAGTTTCCCTTTTTGAAATCTTTAAACGGGCGAATTCCATCCGCACTTTATTAGTAGCGTTTCGAATTTCTCTGATTTCAAACGGCCGTAAATAGAGTGTTTTACTTTTTTTTTGGGAGTAAATTTTTTTACAATTTACGAGCGACTCTCGAGCAAGTTTGTGAGTAAAATGTGTCTGCTGCAAGGGAAGCGTATCCTCTTACTCTTTTATGATTTACAGCTTCGGAGAGCACAGCACATTATAGCGAGTGCGCGCGCGGTGTGTTTTAATTGCGCTGGAGCACCGCAGCATCAATAATAAATTAAATACAAAACAGAGAGAAGAAGTATAAGCCGCACTCTTAAGTAGCTATTTTGAGCTGGCTCGCGGTGGCAGCAAGGGTGTGCGGGGGGAAAAAGGAGTGAGCTGAAGAGAACAAGAACCCACTGGAGGCAAATCACGAATGTCTGCATTTGATTAATAAATACATGATAATTATATTAAAATATTAATTAAATAGAATTAATAATATCAAAATATTAATTGAATAATTGAATAGCAGATCTTTGATTTTGTTATTCATGAACATTGGATATATTTGTCCAATTCAGGTCCCATTTTGAATTTTGTTCAGCAAATTTTTGTATATCCATTTGTGTTCTATAGATATATTATTAAAACTTTTAATCCTCCTGAAAATTATAATAGTTTATTTCATGTTAATTTAAATATGCAAGATCCCAGGGGTTATTGAGTGTAAACGTGACTTTGTTTACAATACCGTAACCCTTACTACTATATAATTGTATGTTATAATAATATAAAGTGATAAATAAGTAATTGTATAGCCAAATAAAATTTAAAAAAAGGAATAATAATAATTTTTAGTAAAAATATATAAAAACATTTTATACAAAAATAAAAATATAATTTAAAAAATAATATATAAAAATACAATAAATATTGATGTAAAATATATTGTTTTTAATTTTTTTTTAATTTGCAACACCACCACTGACTGAGTGCTGTGCTGTGCAGTGTAGAGAAAGAATTCGATCGCCAGCGGAGCAGCTCTTTGAAATTCTGCGCAGAACAGAGCAGCATTATCTGAATAACATTTTTATTTCTTTTTTCCTCCTCCTCCTTCCTCCACTGCTTCTTTTGAAGAGTTTGCCTGCTTTTTATCTCGCTCTCTTTCTTTTATTCGCCAGTGGCAGCCAGCAGAACGAAATTGGAACATGAAAATAATGCAGTGGGGAATAATAAGGCGGAATAAAAGATAAGGCGTCCTCCTCCTTTCGCATGGAGATATTCAAAAACAAAGCAAAACTCGTCGGCGAAAGAGAGAAAAAGATCAAGGCGAGAATATGAAAATACAACGTTTTATTTAAGAAAAAAGTTTGTTCCTGCTTTCCCTTCAGGTTTCGCACACAATAGGATTAAGGGTTGAATTCTATTCATGATTGAGTGAGGGAAAATATTGTGTAACTTTAGATGATCAGTACCGGTCCAAGGGAAATCCGATATGCAATAAAATACCCTATCCATCGGCAAGGAGAGAGAGCAAAGAAATCCGCTGCTCTTGATGATTAATGCATCGTCCACATATCTGCAGATCGCATCTCGATTGTCCGAGAGGTGTTGAAAATCTCAGTGTGCAACAAAATGGTACTTATATAATAATGATAATTCAAACGGTACACAGGATTTCTCTCTTCCTCTCTTTGGATCATTAAAAGCTATTATGCGTAATTTAATCAAGAAAGACGTTTGGATGTGAGAAAAATGCAGAGCGAGAAAGAGAGGTGACACATTTATTATATTTCGGATTTGAATCGCCGCGGTGCTGCTGCTGTCAGTTATCGCGGCAGCAATCGTGTTACAAAAGTTATCAAGGCGCGCAACTTAACCCCTTCCGTGCGCTGCTGTAGGTATTGCATTGTACGCGCAGAGGCTGCTGGTCAAAACCACTTTAAATAGCTTTTCACGCAAATACAAAACACGTTCTTAACACCTCTCTTTCTTTCTTTCTTTCTCATTATACACGTACGTCTGTGCCTGGTCTTTTTCCAACAAAAACCTCTCGCTCTAGCTCTCATTATAATGCAAGATTATTTCACAAAGATACAATTCAAGCATGCACTGCCGCAGAGAATGACGTGTCACTCATCTTCAAGTGCGCCGAGTCGACGCGCACATCAAAAGCAGTTTGGAAATAAAAAATTGTTGACAACTTATTCGAGTGAATGAGTCGCATTGTTGCCCTCTTGAGAGGGCCAGGATCTATGCTGATTCGGAAGAAAAGGCTATTGTGGCACTGAAAGAGTGCGAAAACCAGTTGAAAAAGGTAAATGCGCAAATAGAAAGAGAAATCAGTGTGGAAAATCGACACACGTGCGTCCAGAATTGAAAGTGGCAAACTCAATTGGGAGGGACCAGCCCTTGAAGTTTCAAAAAAAGTTTTCTAAGAAAGAATATAAAATAAGAAATAAAATCAAATTAACGAAGAAAGTAAAAAGATTATAAATGTATGATTGTAAGATGTAAAGGTTAAATTTTAATTTCGTTTTCAACATTTTAAAAATGAGAAAAATTATTCCCTTCTCATATTAAATGTCTAAATATTAGACAAATTTTTATATTTCAAGTGAACCTGCAAAAAACTGAAGGCTATCGGTGCTTAATTTTTACTTCAAAAAATTCAGCATACGAATTTTAAAATTTGTTTTTGTAAAACTTTGATTAACTTTCCTTAACTGTAATTTCCATAATATTTAAGTTTCAAGAACTCGATTTTAAATACTGCCAAAGCAAATAAAACAAATTATTTTATCATTTGAGTTGATCTGTAGCAAGCAAATTTTTATAACCGAAACCGAACTGAAAAAATGCACACCCACTTGCTGAAAACGCAACGTTGGGTTATTTATCTTTCATTACTACAACCGGTCTTGTACAAAATACTCGATTTTTTTTTCAAACAAAGTTAGTTGAACATGTGGTCACTTTTTTACATTTCGCAAAACCAGTGCTGCGTGCAGGTCGATGCGAAAAGTCGCAGTAATGAAGTACGCCGGTGCGGACATGTGACACTTGCGTTCATTCGACGCACAGCTATAGTTTTTAATTTGCGCAACTTATTTACCTGCTGCGCCCGACAGCGAGCAAATAACGAGATCGTACTGCGAGTAGAAAATAATACGAAACGGTAAATCATTTCAGTTTATAAAGTTTTTCTACCGAAGAAAAATAATTTCAGTTTTTATAAATAATAAATTAAAAAATATAAAAAGGTGATTCTAACCATTCCTACCTTGCTCTGCTGCTCCTGCTGGATCAAAAGCTGGTCCCTGACCAACTGCAGTTGCAAAATCATTTCGGAAAGGCGGCGTTCCTTTTCGACAAAAGTCTCTCCGCCGACCAGGGCGTGCTGCAAAGCTGCGCCGTCCACGTCCGACTCGCTGCAAAAAATCCAATCGCACAAGCCGCACTTTAAATCACAGAAAATAATGCAAATGGCAAAAGTTGGTTAATAATTCAGAGCAGACGTGCAACGCACTCGGCGATAATGCGGACAATGCAAAGTATGCCCTCTCGGAAAAGGAAAATACATAGGCGGGGAGTTGGACAAACGCCGCGCCAGCTGATGAATAAATAATTCACCTGCTGCCCCTCTCGTATCTAATATAATGCTGTGTGCATTATTCAAAAATCGGGACTTTTGCGGCACAGGGGGTGAGTCTAGAGCGACCGGTCACTACTTTTTAAGTGGACATTCCTAGGCAGAGCACGCGGTGTCGCATATCAACTGGATTTGCAGTGCAAATGCAAAGCGAGCCGAGACGAGTCTTCGAGAGGAAAAAATAGGGCTGTTTGTAGATGAAGAAGCTGCGCTTTTTTTCTTTACTGCGAGCACTCTTTCGCACTTCTTGTACACAAGAAGGAATACGTAATCAGGAAAAATAGAAAGCAAACTTCGGCCTCTCGCTACGTGTTTATTGGAAGTCGGGAAAGAAAAACTTTGCAGTAGTAGAGAGTAAGCTTTTGTGAATTTGTAATCTGGACACAAGAAAAAGGAGCAGGTGTTGCTGGAGTGCTCGACCGCTCTGCTATCACGGTTTTCTCTCGCTTTGAAACTCACAGAAAGGCGTGCAAAAATCCACCAATGTGAAGTAATGCTTGCGTTGAGTATAGTGGCCAAAAAAGAATTACTTAAAAAATCTAAACTTTGAACAAATGAATAGCCCAAAATCACAAAATTGGAAAAAGAAATTTTTTAATATTTAATTTTTCTCTTAAAATGAAAATTTCCTTTATTAATGTAACTGATTTTATCTTAAAATTATATTATATGAAAGTTTGCCGACATTTTTTTTAGAGCTTTTGCAATTTAATTTTTGTTGTCCTGATTGCAGGTCATTCATTCCATCGCAGTGTTAGGCAGAAAGGGCTATTTCGGTACAGTGTGCTGATGTGCGTTGTGTACGTTTTAATATTATTTTTAATCATTTGTTATCTTTATGAAGGGTCTGCTGCTGTTGTAAACAGTGGCTGCTGAGGTGCTTTCGCGTGTATGTTGCGCTCTCGCGGCCAATTCTTCTTGAGCAATTATTATTTCTGTGTGTGCCCTGCAGAGAGTCAATATCGAGCCTGTAAGCAGCTCCTGGGAGGAGCCGTTGGCCTGCAAAGTTTGCTTCTGTAATATCTGCAGTTTAGCTCGCGCCGCGCTCTGCCTGTTCAATACAACGCTCAATAAATGTGATGTGTTTGTTATTTTTCATACGCGGGCGGCAGCGCCGGTGTGCTGAGTTTGCATTAGGTGGGGAGTTGTATTTTAAACTAAGTTCTAATTTTAATTCTTTCAAGGGAAAAATGGCTTGAAAATTTGTAAATAAAAATTGTTCTTTAAATTACGGTTACATATTTTAAGATTGCAATTGTTTTCAATGAATTAAGATAGACATTTCCAAATTTCTGAAATAGTTAACTTTTTTTGCGTTGCGTATGTACCATGAATGGAGAATAAATATAAATAATAAATAATTTGATAAAAGATAGTGAGTGAAATTCACGTCAATTATTCAAGATTAAAGAAGTATTCTTTTGGTTCCCTTAAAAATTTCAATTATGAACAATGTCTAATTTAATCCTTAATTAAATTTTGTTATCTTTATAACCCTTGTGTGATAATAAATTGATCACTCTTTGCACTTTGACTAAAATCTGTACTCCCATAGTTCTGCACGAAATAATGCAGGCGTGTACAACAGCGTCCATTACAAAACCACACGTAAATCATCTTTCTAGAAGCTGCGGTGAGGTGAATTATAAATATTCTCGGAAAACCACGCGCAACTTCACTGGGAGGCTCTCTTTCTCTCGGTGCGCTTCTTTTATTTTTAACCCTCTCTCTCTCTCTCTCTCTATTTCTCCGCAACGCTAGCTGGAATCATTTTGCATATAATAATGAAAAGACTGAACCTGCTGTTGCCTAATTTATTACATACGGTGAGGCCGCAGTTCTATTATTTATCACCAACCGGTGCAACGTACAAAATATTGTGCGAGCAAAGCATAATTAAAACGCTAAAATAGAACTGCTGGATAAAAGAGGTAAAAAATTCGCCGGCATTTGAATTTGATACTCGATACCTTTCTTTATAAGCGTCTCTTTCAGTTGGAAAACTTCAAACAAGGCGCGCCCCATTAGTTTGCCGTACAGGAATGCCGCTGAATTCTTCTTTTCAAAACAACAGTTTTAAGTTGCATGCGAGCTTATGAGAGCTCGGTCTATTTTTCGACTTCGGAAAGAGACACTCGCGGCTCAAAAATGAAAAATGATTTATGCTGGACTTAATTCGCAGCGCCGGGATTAAATTGTCCGTCAACACCAAAAATAATTCAAGTTCAATTTATAAAGTGCAGTTTTCACTGGTGTGTTGCGGGAATGTGCAGTGCGCCTACAGCCAGCAGGGGTCTCTTTGTGGTGGTCTGCTCAAGAACACTCTAATTTATGGGCGTTTGGTTATATTCTCTGCGAAATAATGGGCTTGGCCGGCACCCGCATGTGGTTTGCTGCCCACAGTAAACAAACATATCATTTGTTCATAGATTCATCTTCTGCAACATCCTGACGTAAATTATAAAATAAATTGGGTAAAAACATAAAAAGAGTGTTATTTTCGGTAACTTCTTGATTCAAAGAAATGGCCTGATTTATTATGAATAATTTTTCTTTCTATTAGCATTCGTTTGTAGATGAAAATTCTAAGGAGACGTCATAATAAAAATCAAATTCATTGGAGAACTGAATTTTGAAAATTAACATTGTTATAATAGGAATTTCTTAATATATCTTAATATTTCTTGTCTTAAAATTTCTGTAAATTGATAAAAACAAATTATCAAACCATGTTCCTATCACCCAAATTAAGTCAGTAAAATAAAATCAATAGGTAGCTCAACATCAAAATTTATGTAGAGTACAATTGAGTAATTGGGAAACGGTTCAGTAAATATTTTTTCTTAGTTTCGATTACTATTAAAAATTTATGACTTTTGAAAGACATACCTGGTCGATTTGGGAGTGGTGGCGGGTGTGGGTCGCCTGTGTTCCTCCTTGAGGGTCATTTTGGAGGTGAGCCGCTTGAGGACGTCGTCCATGGTCCTCTTGGGCAGCAGACTGTTGTGGTTGAGGCTGGACGAGTTGTTGTTCAACCCCTTGAGCTCCGAGTCGTACTGCAGGCGCTGCTTTTTGGCGCGCAACTCGTGCTCCTCTTCTTCATCCTCCTCGTCCTCCTCTTCGGGGCCGCTGCTGTGCGGCGACTTGTCCTCGCCGAGGGAGGTTGGCGCCGCCGACGCGGCCTCGTCGCCGCTGTCGTCGACGCCGCCGCCGGCCACGTCGCCGTTCTCGCGCGCCGGCGACACCTCGCCGTTTCCGGAGGAGTAGTCCTGAGGGGCGCCGCCCTCGTGCAGCTTGGTCGGGGGCGATTTGCGTTTCGACGACATTGTGCTACTCCTGGGAACAGAAAAGACAACAACGCGTCAGCGTGCAGTTTCCGAGAGGGCAACAGGAAGTAGAACATGTGAGAATGGGAGAGTGTGGAATTTTAGGGAGATGCCGCCGCCGAGAGAGGTTTTATTTAAGACAAGGGACTAATGAATTTTCGCGTGCATTTTTTCTTCCCCTTTTTGTTTTTGACGGTGGCTTAATGTGTGAGAAAAGTGGAAATCCTAAAACTTTTGAGTCTGGATTGTGAGACTTTTGTCGTTTTCTTAATGAGTAAGAATCCTTAAAAAATCCAGCCAGATTTAAAATTCCCTGTCTTCTCTTGTGCAATTCCAAAGTAAATAAAACTTAGTCAAAAAATACAGATAAAGAAATGCAAATTGAATTGCGTGATTTCTGAAAATATGTAATTATTTTTTGATCTCGGTGGAGATGAGCAACTTTATTGTTTCTGCATGGTACAGAAAATCCCTGCTCTACTAGTTTTGGTTTCATCAAAAAATGATCACCTTGAGTGCCAAAACAATTCCATAACAACAACTTCTAGAACCTATATAGAAACATTTAATTATTTCCAATTATTTCTTTAAATATGGTTTATCTATATTGCTCTTACAATAACAATGTAGAGAATGAACTTAAATTCGATTTAAAACATTTAATTGAACCAAATTCTACTGACCATGATTAAATTAAATAAATGGTTACTGTAAGCATGAACAAATGAGAAAGATAAAGAAATTTATTTAATTTAAAAATAATAACTTCACCTTATTTTAATTAAAATTTTAAAACAAAATAACATAATATTCCATTTCTGAATAATTATAATAAGTCCTGATCTCACCGGAATTTCGGTTGGCCCGGCCGGTTCAAGAGCCGCGAGTTGTGAGAGCGGCATAATTACTGTGTGTAAGGGCGAGTGCCCGCGCCGAGAGCACCCTTTAGCTGCTTGTGCGTGACCACTCGGACTAAGACTAAAAAACAGTTGGAAAAGAGCGACGGCCGTCCGCGGGGCTCCATTCCATGCATCCACCACAATACAAGTCTGCGATATTGCGTGCACACAATGCCGCGGAGATGTCTGGAGCGCATGGTCCAGCGCGCGGAATAAATTATCTGCTCCCATGAAGAAGAAGGGGTTGAGCAGATCTTGTCACACCAGAAAAAGCAGCGACGCTCTCTATCTCGCTACGGAAATAATTTTTTGATGGTTTTCGGCCGCTGCGCTGGATATACAATGTCGGCTCATTATGATGCAGATTATTATTATTTTGGGGAGAAAGACTAACTTTTTTATTCCTTTGAGAAATGAGCATAATAATAAATGTCGCGGATATTATAATGAACGGAAGGGCGCATTGATAAACAAAACTGGATCCGAATATTATCCAGCGGACTTTCTTTTGTGCGCCGAATTTGATTCAGGAGCGGTTCCATTTCTCGGCCCGCGTGTTATTCTTGCATTTAATCAATGGACTTTTATACGTGTATAATCATTTTGCAAAACGTATGTTGTCATTACTGACACACACAGAGGCAGGGTCTGATACAAAATATAAATCCACACGTTTTGTTTGTTAATAGGAGCTGAAAGGATTCATTTCAATAAATAAATAGACGGGAGATCCAGCCAGGAATCATTATTATTTTTATTATGTCAATGGCGTGCTGGAAAAAGGGCATGAAATAAGAAGAAAAGGTTTGACGCTGTTCTCAGATTGGGCCCATGAATAGACGAGCAAATATTCTCCTTCTTCTTTTGCAATGCATCATCATCGTCGTCATGCACCTCTGAATGTGTAATTTTTCATTATACATCTCCGCGAGAGATTATTCTGCTCCTTTTCTGTATTATTTCTTTCTTTTGGCCCCGTGTGCGAGCTGCGCTGCTGGATTATATTATATAATTCATTATATTGCACCACTGGCTGCTTGAATTATGTAGAAATAACTGCTGCTCCTGTTACATTATTCGTCAACGCTTTGCTCTTTGCTTGCTTAGCGTCTTCTTCTTTTGGTTATATACTAGGGGGAGATAAATGGGTGGATGCTGCACGCTGGACCCGGCCGGCACAGATGACCAGTATAATAATTTATGCCCCTTTGTGTCACACCTTGGGAATAATGAAGCGCGCATCAATCATTTTAAACCAACATTCCATTTCAACTGCCGCAAAGTCTCTCGCGCGATTGGAACTGGGCCAAGCTTAATTTTCTTATCTCTCGCTCTAGTCAAGAGATATTTTTATCTCGACGATTTTCGATCGCCGAGTTTGAGCTGAGTAGTTTTGGCACAATACACAAGTCTTCGGTAGTATAGTGGTCAGTATCCCCGCCTGTCACGCGGGAGACCGGGGTTCGATTCCCCGCCGGAGAGACCTTTTGGTACAAATTGTACCCGCATAGAATTTTTGTATTTTATTTCTCTTTTTAACTTCAGGTTTTGAAGATATGTGCAGATACTTCATAAATATTTTGATTTTTTTTACGTTCAAATGAAAAGTTATTTTATAGTAGCAAAAATATTTTCAACCATGGCAATCATTGCAGCTAACTTTGAATTATTGCATTGATTTAAAAATAAAAATATTAAATAATTATATGATTTCCTGATTGATTTGGAATTATAGATACATAAAATAATAATAATATTGTTTATTCTTCACAAATTGTGTAATATACGCAAACGAAAGAAAATTTAAAAAAATAAAACGAAAAAAATTGTAAATCAAAATTTGCAAACGCTTTTCTGACTGAGCAGGCTTATTGCCCTTTCTATATCCACTTCTATCTCTCTCGGCAATGCTGAGGGGCAATTTCCTGGCGAGGGAATTTTAAGAAAAGCGCTCCGAACGGAGATGAGGTTGATTTCCTTGCGTTAATAAAGGGCGAAAGGGATGACACTTGAGCACCGAGGCTGCGAACAAGATTGATAATCGGCTTGGAACACCGGCACGGCAATTAGTTTGCTTATGCAAGACGACGAGTTCGAACTGGAAGGCGGCTTAATAGCGCCGGATGACGCTCCAAGAAACATAAACGATGATTCCATTAGGCCAAATCACATTAGTTTAATTATCTGCCGGCAATGGCACAATTTACGCTCGGCGGCAGCCTCTGGCGGCACCGCCGCACAAAGTGTGAAAGGCTAAAAGTGTTTACACGCCCGAATCGTCGGTCGGTCAACTTTCTGGAGAAAAAATGGCGCAGAGAGATGCAGATGGAATAATAAAAAGCAGTGGAATAACAAACTACGGTCCGTCATAACTGACTTATGCAAGATATTATACAAAATGTCCTCTTTATTTAGCCGACCGGCCGTCCGGTAGTAAAAATGACGACGGTAAAAATAATATTTCTCCATTTACACAAAGTCAAAAGTCCGGCGGCTGAAAAAGAGCAAAGCCTTTTTCTGACTCGCGCGCGCTCTCTCTCTGCTTTTATGCCTTTTCTGTGTACCGCGGCGGAAGTTGCCGAGTAAACCTAATATACTCTCTGCCGCTCGTCGGTGTGTGGAGAAACAGACTTCCTAAATCTCATTTTATATCTAGGCGACAATAAACACTGCCAGAGAGAGAGAGAGAGAGAGAGAGAGAGAGAGAGAGACACGCACACACAGTCGGCTTATGTAAAAAAGCCAATTCCATCATCAGCGAGCGTTCTGTTCATATTGCATTATCGTGGCGGCGCCCAATCCATTTTCCATCAATGCGATTTGTCGCCAAGCAAAATTGTGCGGTGCAAAAATATGCAGAGCGTGCCGAGGCCTGACGTCAGAAACGAGAGAGCACACAGAGTGAAAACGAGGGAAATTGCTCTTTTTCAATAACAGCCGCGCTCGCCAAACTGAAAAAGCGAGAAATGTTCTTTTGCCGACACCAAAGAAAAATGCAGCGAGAAAATAAAAAACTTCGGTCCGTGACTAAAAAAGAATCAACTATAGGGCAGCTGCACTGGAGCATGAGTGTGGAATTTCAAAATTATTGCTCTCAGAAGTTAGACAAAATGATAACAAAGAAAGAGACTGGAGTGGCATAAAGAATGCTTTAAATTTAAATTGATCTTATCTGGAGTTATTTGAAGCTTTACAAATTAATTTCTGCGTGCTTAACATTTTTCACTTTAATCAGAAATTAATTTATATCTAAAATATTAAATATCTGTTGGTTGGTAATTCAACCGAATTAAATAATTTTGTGAATTTTTAAATTTAATTAAAGGCAGTTAATTGAAATCACCTTTGAGGCCTCATCAACATGATCGTCATCAGTGTTGCAGACTGAAAACAAACTGCCAAGACCATTGGCTCGTGCTGAGATAAAAAAGGCCCTTTCTCTGCGTCTAATAAATAATGCGTCATTAATCACAGACACCGTCGCTGCTGGGTATAAAGTGTCTCGAGATGGGCAAATTAATGTCCGCCGACGAGAGCGAAAGTGGGCTCTATGAATTTCCATGCTACAGCGAATCAAAAGTCAACTTGCCCTTCTTGGCCCCCTGACACAAGGAACTTGTATCGCGCGCACCGAATTTAAGCCGACTGTTATTTTTGTACATCTTTGTTTCTCGCCCTCTCTGCAGCGCTCCTCCGCAGCCGTGCGCGATATTTAACCCTTTTGTTAAAAGGCTTCGCTCTCTGTGTTTTCACCCGCCGTGCTCACTCACCGTGGAATAATAATAATAATAGCACACAGAGTGAGACAGGCCCTTTGAGCTTTCACAGCCACAACAATTAGCGCGGGGGTATTATTTTCAGATGGGTAAAACAAACGTCTCTTTTCCCCTAGACACTTAAACTTTGATCCAACTTGCTGCTTTTTTGGCGTTAATTAATGGATTGAAACCATTTAATTAAATGTAAATTATAATTAGATTTAAAGTTCAAATTTGGAGAAATGTTGTACATAAAATTAAAGAAAATAATTTTGTTTATATTAATGTTATGTATTGAAGGAAGTAAATTAAGAAGGATAATTTTAAAATCTCTTCAAATTTTAGTTTTTTTT